ACGCTTTGTCGTCCACCAACTCATCCAGAAAGGCCTTCGATAATGCCGTGCACTGCTTATAAGTGCTCTCAAAGTCGCTCTGAGTTGGGGTTTAGCCTCCTGGAGAGTCGTTCTCGCTGAAGCCTACCATTCCGCCGTACCAGGGATCTGGGATCGCTTTATCATCTAGATAGGAACCCCAAAGTCTGATATCAGCCGTCGCGTCGGAAGGCTTGACGCGGTTTATGTTGCGCAAGTTGTCGTGGTCCGACGCAAGGATGTGGGTGAACCGGGTAAAGTCTTTTCTGTCATCGCATATGAGCCGTCAAGCAAACGCGAGATTGGCACCGTACTTGTGGAGTTGTCGAGCATGATGATTGATCGGTATCCTATACTGTACATGTTGCAGACAGTTAGTGCTTACGCTTCTGAGCCACGAACGATCTCATACCTTCTTGCAAGTCGCGACGGTTCTAGAGAGTGAATTTCGGACGGTTATCAAGCCTGTGCCGTATCCGTCCTGGTTGATTCACGAACCTCTGGGACAAGTATGGGTACCGAATCCACGACAGCCAACTCAAGTCAACTCACGTCATCTGGGTCCTCGCCAGAGTGATATCCGGCCGTCCCGCAGCTGTCGACCTCGATGTCAAGCCCGCGCTCCTTCGCGGCGGCTCGCAGGACGGCTTCGCCCATGGGAGAGCGGCAGATATTGCCCAGACACACGACGAGCACTTTCGCGACGGGTTCTTTGCTGTCTGGCATCCTTAGTGGAGGGGATCAAGTAAGGTGAGCAGCAAGCGGTAATCTGACAGGCCGATCGATTGTCGACGCGTCAATTATCGGTGTCCAAACTAGTCCCCGATAGCTCGACGTTGCCATCTTGTCGACTGCGAACCGCCATGCCTTCGCCACCCATCGAAGTTTGTCCTACCTTGTGCCATCCAAATCCATATTCAACTCAGGTCGAAACAGCTCTTTCTCACTACAATCGCGTCGCAGCCTGTCTTGCGACAACGTCAAGGTCGGTTGAAGAAGTCCACAATCCTGAGTCCTGACGACGCTTGATGATCCAAACCCAGACTACATACTTCGGACGCTCCAGGTCAAGAAGATCCCGTATACCTCCTACGACCTTGCATCAGACGAGAATGTCGGTCGATCCATCTCACAATCAGAACGTCTCTTCTAATCTGAGTCGGCGGCAAGGCAAAGCGAAGATGGAGGCGAAAGGCACCTGCAGGTGCGGCCGATACTTGCTTGCTATATATATCGTGCTCCTGCATTCTCACACATTGATCAGACAAACAACAGCTTCCCGGCATGCTAGTAGGCGGCAAATTCCCTGGAGTTCGTCTCACGATCCACCGCACTGCGACGATAACTGACACCCTAGCTCCCCTCCAGCCGTTCTCGGAGTTGTCAGTCTTCCCATCTCTCATCTACCCGTGCATTATCCCGCATTCACACTTTGGTCAGTGAAGAAGCAGTCGAATACGACGAACTCGACATTTTCCTGCGGCTGAAGGAGTCCTGGGACCCCGACCTCGATGGAGACGGTCCGGCCCTTGCCGCCGGACCTGTGGGTGTGCCAGGGGCGTACACCCCGCTTGAGATGACGCCCGAGCCTCAGCGGTCGAAGATCATCGCCGCGCAGCATCCCCCGTCTCCGCTCAAGGGCAAGAAACCGATCCCGATCAACAAGCGCGACGATCTGTTCGACGTGAGCACCGAGCTGGATGGATTCGGGCTGCAAGGTGTACATGTGTCCGAGAAAGAGTTGGCAGATCTCGTCGCCGAACTTGGCTTGGACGGAGATGAGGCTGGGGATCTGGTCAAAGGGCTAAGTGGTGCACCTGCCAGTAATTCCAGCACAGACAAGTTGAAACCAAAGGAGTCGGCGCCAGTCGAGCTCGCGAAGCCCGACACAAAGCCTGCCGAGGCGAAAGAGACGATTTCTGAAGAACAAGCTGAGGACAAAGCAACGATCCCCGCTGTACAAGCCACAGATTCGAACACAGCATCCGTTGGAGAGAGCAAACCTTCGCAGTCGGTCACCGAAGAAAAAGCAGAACCAAAAGAATGAGCGGCTGGCGGTGGGGCGCTAATACTAAACGTGGATTCTTGTATATTTTACAATTCAATGAATGGTTTCCTCTCGAGAGGACGAATCAAGAAGACGAATCAGAATCGGACGCAGAATACTCGTAAATCCTCGACTGCCTTCGTCGCAGAGTTGTCGTAGTGGTAGATCCGGATGCCACAGGCATATCAGTCACCTGTGTAGGGTAGTCCTCCTCTGTCTTGATGGACTACACACGGATTCAACTACAGCACAAGAGAACAGAGATGAAAACATACGGTCTGACTGCCTCGTCCTCTGGCCAGCGGCTTCTCCGATTCACTTGTCCATTCATCGTCCGATGTTGGAGCCAGAGAAGGATGTGCCGCGAGGTCTTGGGGTAGAGGAGAAAATGCTGAGGCGTTGTGGTCGAATACCAGTGGCAAAATACATCCAGCCACAATCGAGGACGACACGAAGAAGAACAGAGCCGAGGCCGCCAGAGCAGATAGCAGAGGGAAACGAGTGACCAAACCGCTGCATTTGCGTCAAAAGAGGGGGCTGAATCCGGAACAAACACTTACCGGATACCGTGATGCACTACAGTACCATGCAGAGACGCCGAGGTAACACTTAGTTCGCGGCCTTGCCCTGTGCCCAGGGTCTTCCAGTTGTCTCGTCGTCCCACTTCAATGTGCACAGCAAGCTTGGATGTTCCGGCCGCGTAAGAAGAGAGGACAGGAACGCGAATCGATATCTCTGAAGAAGTGCGCCTGAACAGTCGGGGTTGTGGAGATACCACAATGGCCTGTGAACCCGATTAATAGCGATTCAGGGATGAATAGCGAAGCACGGACCGGTTTTCGGACAGACACTAATGTGTGGTTTCCGCGCGTCAAGAGAGAAAAATTGACCATAAAGTTTCCTAGTGCGTAGTTCGATTCGACTGCAGGAACTTGTAGGTCGAGATAGAAGTCGTATCGCTGTTTGGCGACAAGAGACGGCAACTGAACGTCTGCGTATGGAGGCAGTCCGTCGCTGCACTTTCAGAGTTCAGAGAAGACCTGGTCGGGTCACAATAATCGTACCCATATTGCAGATAGAGTGGTACCCTCCAAGCTACAGCGGCGTTCTCCCAGACAAGAAACCCAGCAGTTGCAGAGAAGAAGGCAAGCAGAGGGAACAAAGACAGGTAGATGAAAAAAGGCAGAATCTGAGGTAGCCTCGGTCTCAGAAAGCTAGCGATCGAGACAGCAGCTGTGGCAAGTATGCTGCGACGCGGTGGAGGCGCGTCCACCGCCATCAACGTCATGGCCAAGAAAGGTTGCTTGGCACGTGTTTAGATAGCTGATGTCTCTCAACATTCACAATCTCTTACGCGCAAACCCTTCCTCGGAATCTCTGCGCGAGTACATCGCAGCTCTGTACAGTCAGACCAACTTGGTAGTTGCAGAACCAGAAATCAAATCGTATTCCGACGCGGTGTACTTCAACTACTATGGTCTCGGATTGAGTTTGTTGTTCACCCCCAAGAACGGATACAAGCCCACAACGGGGTTATCGCGTACGAATCTCAAAGATAGTGACTTGGAGCTCGAGGGACTCGATTTCTACAACGTCCCCAAACCCACAGCATCCGATCCCAAAACCAAAGGGACGTCAGCACGAAAAGCTGAACTCGCATTCTCAACGTATCCCGGCATGCCCCTCATCCTCCAGCTGCAGCCGGGCGCGAGAGACAAGGAGGGAAAAGAGCTATCTGGCAGACCGGGTGAATTCTCGGTTGGTCCTGAGAGCACGGGCAAAGATTTCGTCGCGTGTCTTGGGGAGCCTGCTCGGAAGGGTGGCGGTTCTGGGCCGTCTTCTGGCTCAATCGGGATCTGGTGCGAATGGACGCATGATGGACTGATGGTCGAGTTTGGGGGAGACGCGGCTAAAGGCCCTCAGGCATGGGAACGGGGGAAGGATGCCATATGGAAGGTCATAACTGTATTCCCTGTTGGCAAATAGAGCATGCTCAAAGCATGGTACCTCCCATTCGCTTTGGGGAGAATCACATTCCCCATGGCATTCACATGCTTCGAGCAATGAGGTCACAGGACGTTCGACGAGACAGTGATTGCGATACCCCGCATTCGACCGTTGACTAAATAGGCAGCAGATGTAGTAACTCGAACCCTGCTTCGACTATCTACCACCATGGCTGTCCCTGCAGAGTTCACAATCTTGAACATCACTGGCAAGTTCTCTATGGTTCGTCGAGACGCACTGGTACCTCGTCGCGCAGTCCTCTTCCTCACCTTGAACCCAGAACAAGACCTTGACCAATGGGAACGACACAGACACGATCTTGAGGCTCCAAGGCGTCGGTTGGTTCAAGCGAAGCGTTATCGCGAAAAGCACGATCACCCTCTACGTAAAGCACTACAAGGACGACGCAGGGGTGGAGCATATCGATATTGATCAGGGCAGTCTATCCATCTACGCGCGAATACGCGAGGTGACGGACCTTCTAGACTCTCACAGGCGGAATCCCTGGGACTCGTGAGGAGCGGGAACTCAATTGGCAGGAACGGGAGGTGAATGACTCGTTGTTCGGGCCAGTTGTCGGCAAATCGAGGTGCGTGAATGGGGCACACCTGCTTCTGCCCCTATGGTCGCATCATGCTGACCTGTTTTGGCAGGCGCGTCCAAGCGAGTGAAGTGACTGAGCCGTTCCTCGCGACCCAATGGACCGCAGACACATTCGAGCATGGTCTCGTTGAGTCTTATGTGTACAGTGACACGCCGCGGAGCGGGACGACTTGGATCGCTCACCAGGTCTGATGGTGCAACAGTATAATTTGCGACCTTCGAAACTCACATTTCCATTACAGACTTGGGGAATGGAAGAGATCGATGGAGTTCGTCGCTATGCGCGGCATGTTAAGTTCATTGGCCCCCAAGGGGAGGTCATCGAAACTAAGCTTGTGTATGATTATCGTACGTCGCGTCTCGTCCCCAGGACCCGAATGCCGCTGATCGCTGTATTATCTCAGTCGGCGGACTGTGATCCATCCATGTACACTTCAATCTGAATCTGATAATTCTATAACCTCTCTTTCATAATTCCTTCCGAACTTGGCAGTGCTCCGAGCACTGTTCGTGGTAGCGCTAACACGTCGCCTCTTTGTTGGTGAACTTTTGGGATCGTCACGCATGGAGTATGACCACGACACATCGACATCCGACGAGCCTATGTGGTCAAGTGCCTCGAAGCCCCTAGAAGGTCGTCGTCGGGAGCCGATCGCTTTTCTGCTCGGTTGCTTGTCTGGGACAATGAAATCATCCATCTCTCCGTAGAAATCTGGCTCTTCAAGCTCTTCGATATCCTCATCCGAGAAATCATTGTGCTCGTGGTCTTCGCTTTCGGGCTCTCGCCTGCGCTTGCTGCCGATACTCTCCCTGGCCCTGTTCCTTCCTTTACCCTTCGGTTGCTTTGTCCTGAAACAACACTCAAGCTTCGGCGCAAGTGAGTCGGTTTCCAGCCTCTGTTTGGAGAAGCGCGTGAACTGCAGGGCCAGAGGTCCGTTGGAGAGGTACGCCACGGTCTTGTATGCTGTCGAGTGGTAGTTTTCCACAAGATACTTCTTGACCACGAGCTCCACCAGCAGACTCTCCAGATCCTTGATATGTCTTCAGCAGGCAACGTTTGGCGTAAGCTTTGACTCACATCTTTCGTCAGTTCGACCTTGCCTTGGCACACATCCTCCAAATCAAGCGCGGCCTTATCCCTGCCGCTACTGTTGCCGCGGGCCAGGTCGGTGAGCATAGCCAGGGTGAGCTGAGTACCAGAAGTCTTGAAAGCATCCACGATGCGAAGGACCTTCCATGAATCCAACGTCGCATCTCGCCGCTCGAAGCTATTTGGATCTCGGTTGCAGTTATCGCAATGTCCGCAGCGGCTGAGAGCATCGGCATCTGCTGTGGCCCAGGACGTCAACGACAGTTGCGACGCATGAGAAAAGTATCTGCGGCAATGAGCGACATGGAACTTTCGAAGGACGACGCGTACTTGGCAAAGGCTATCTTGCGACATTCCACCAGATCGTGGGCAAATGCAAGCATATGGTGGACTGTGGACCCGGATCAGCTGAGCCCAAGCGACCGATGCTTCAGGCCCACATTTATCCGCTCCGCCGCGTTCACTCGCCATCATGCTACTCAGGTTCGAGAAGTCGGCCGGTCGGAAGTATAGCACACAGTCTGAATCTTTTCCATCACGGCCAGCGCGACCTGACTCCTCTATGGCAAGATGAGGTCGCTGAATGAATTTATGCGAAAAAGCAACGGACGATAGTACGAATCCAGAGATTTCTTAAAACGGATTATAGAAACTGAGCGACGCAAGCTTGAGCAGTGGCTCACCGAAAGCTGGAAAACGCTTGGCCCCAAGCAGAATTCGATGACAAGTTGAACGAACCGTGTGGTGCAGAACAAATCTAACGTCCCCTTTGTCGATTCCGAGGCCGAAAGCTTTTAACATGTTAGTCTGAGCTGGCTGACCTGGAAATCTCGAAAAGAACGGACCAATGGTCGCGCAAACAACCTGAACATCGCCTTTTCTCCATCTCCTGTGCAATGTCTCTTTCTCTTGGTCGCCCCTCTCCGCGTGGTACACTCCGGTCTTGATCTTCCCGCCACTCTCTGCTTTCAAACCTTCAGCGACCTTTTCAGCGTCCTGATCAGCACCGTTAGCGGGGCTCCAGTGAATCAGGTTGTATAAAATACCTTCTTGGTATGACAATAAACGATGCCTGTGTGGTTCGCGTGATTTTCAAGTATGTATTCTTTCATCGCGGTGATTTGAGCTTTCAGAGCTGCTGCTTTGGGGAGAATCTTATAGTGAAGGTTCTTGCGATACAGGGGGGAACAGAAGTAGACAGTTCCGTTGACCTTGGCATCTGTGCCGGAGTCAGGATCCTAGTTTCAGGCTGGGTTGTCATACACGCACTGTTCCCATCAACGACTCCCTTGAGGCCAAGCACCCGCAAGAGATCATCCAGCACTCGTGGGGGACATGTCGCGGATAGAGCCATAATGGGAACGTGTGGGAAGTTCTGTCGAAGTATATGGAGCTTTTGATAGTCAGGCCGAAAGTCGTGGCCGAGTTGTGAAACACAATGGGCTTCGTCAATCACGATCCGAGCTGTGCCAGTTGAGCCCAATATTCTGTTACCAGACACACACTCACCGAGTCGGCCACCATCGACCAGTTTCTGCAACATAGACATGAAGGTCTTGCTCTTAGCGATCTTCTCTGGCTGCGAAAGCGATCAAACTGCTGTTCTCCGGGTATAACATTCATCTTACAGTCACATAACAGAGCTTAATCTCTCTGCCTTGTGTTGGTCGATTCTGTGCCATTGCCACCAGCCTGCTGTTGATCTCACGAGCCTCTGCTTTCGGTGTCCCACCTGTGATCTTCACAGCTTCGACTAGCTGCCGTTAAATGCGGATTTAGACATCATATGTCAGTCCACGCACTGCCTGCTTCGCGAAGGTGCAATATCTGGTCTGTAATCAAGGAGATCAAGGGTGATACGACCAGGGTGCATCCAGGGTTTAGTAGGGCAGGCAATTGGTAGGTCAAGCTCTTCCCGCCGCCTGAAATAGTAAGACGTATGTCTGGGACTGTACATGGTACTTACCAGTCGGCATTACACATACAATATCGCGGGAGTCCATGTTGGCATTGCATACGCTGAACGATGTCAGTTTCCTGCACCAGAAACAGTGTGAGGATTGCCCACCCTTGTTGGCACAGTCGAAAATCGCGGATGTTGAATACTCTCTCCATTTGATTCTTGAGCTCTCCGTACCAAGGGAAGTCGTCCGAGCTGTAGTCCGTTCCAGAAACGCCATCGGTGTTCTTGCCCTTGGCATTGCCCGGAGCCACACTAAGCTGTTCTAACTCCTGCAAGAGTTTTCGCCTCTCGTCCGAGCGGAGGGCAGAAAGGGCTTGGAGTTGCCCTATCTCCTCCCGGATGTTCGACAACTCCGCATCGAGCTTCGCCACCTCCCTATTAAGCTCCTGCTTGCGTTGATCATGAGGCACAGCGATGTGAGGGTTCGAGACGCGGGAGGGCCCGGCTCCCCGGGTCGATGCCGGCAGGCTTCGTTCGTGTCTGGACATCTCTAATATCTCCTCGAGCTAGATGCGCTTCAGCGGACGGGAACGGCACATACTCTGATCGGCACGAACATCATCAGAACCGGCTTGGTCGTCGTGATAGCGATACGGCATGGAAGTGGAAAGGACGCGTGATCTAGCGTGTAAACAAGTGTTCGGAGGGAGCTGGGGACTCTTGGAACATTACAGGGTCGGTCTCGGACGGAAACAGTCTAGGCAGGAGAGAAACGCGCTCAATGTTGCGCCCTGTTTTGGTCAGCGGATTTGACTTCCAGCATAGCCACGATCGTGGGCTGTCAGCCCGCTGAGTGGGCGATACTAATTTTAGCGTAATCATACTTGCCCTCTTACACACTCACTTCCCGCATGTCGGGCGAAAGCTCGAAGACGAGCTCTTCTCGAACACAGAGCGTCGACTTTCTCAGCCACGACTTACCCGCCTCCAAACCCCCGATACATACCTTCGACGTTGAAGACGCCCGACCCACTCTCGACATACATCAGCCGGCCCGCGGGGGCTTCGTTGCAAGGATCCGCCAACAATCTGCGCGGTTCCCAAGGTTGAACAAGGTCTTTCTGTGGCTAAGAGGACCTCGTCCGAAAGTCGACCTTCCTGGTATTCCTCTTGGCGCTCGATAAATATGCACGCGAGTTGACTCTGGATAATACTCAGATCCCAAACCTTTCCTCGACATTGACTTCCATGTTCGTGGCCGCCACATCTCACTGCCTCTCGAGAGAACCTGGCTGCGACTCACTCGGTTCGTGCCGAGCCATCTGCTGACCGTTGTCCTCGGTAACTCGACTCTCACAAACCGTTGCATATCCGCTCACGCAAGGGATTAGTTGCCGCATACATCATATCATTAGCCTTCTTTGCAAGAGCCCAGTTCTTCCAGACTCCAGCCGACGCTTTCATCAGCTGCACGGCTACTTATTGGCTGTCTGAAGGCAACTGCGGCCTTGATGGCCAGGCATGCGCCCCATTCAACGGCTCGTCGCTCGAGTGAGTGCCCCAGTCAAGGACAGCACATCATACCAATGATTCGGTGCAGCTTCCGATGCCCTGCTGGCTGCGCAGGCGTCATCCTGGCCAACCCGCGGACCGTCGGAGACGAAGAGATGGACTTTGTGCCGTTGATTGTCGGCGGAGGCGATGCGAACCGGACCTATCGCGGCGACAGCTTCATTTGCGCTGCTGCAATCCAATCGTACGTGATAGGCTATGTGGGATTACTTTGCTAAGCCCATGCAGCGGACTGATCAGCAACCGTCGAGGGGGATGCGGGACACTTGATCTTGTCGGCACGTTCGCGAATTTCTTGCCTACCAGTGGCAACGGGCTGAACTCCATCGGGTTTCCCACCGTCTTTCCGCTGTCGTTTCGCTTTCGCCAAGTGACAAGCCTCCATCACTGCACGGATCTGCGAGACTACGCACTCGTTTTCAACGCGCTCGTGACTGCAGCGCTCTTCCTCTTAGTACGACCCAAGCCCATCGTTCTTTTCTGGTGCCTGGTGAGCATCGGGTACTGGCACATCGTGCTGTTCTCCCAGCCAGGCGGACCTCCCCCTCCGCTCGATGTTGCGTTCGGGACATTTCTTCCCGCGCTCTTCATCGCTTATGCGTTCTGGTCAATGGCTTGGCGGTGGTGTCTTCCGGCGTTCAAGAGAGCGCCCATCGAGGCGATGGTGCTGTATCTGCTTCCATACTGGGTCGGTGTCCTTGCTGGCGAAACAACGGACCGTTTGCCCCTTCAACGGCTCACGGCAAGTGACTTGCATAAACGCTCTGGGGCGATTGTCACGTTGCTGGTGATCATCGTGATCATTATCCTGGTGGCCATCATCCAACTGCGCGATTTCCGCAGGACAGGCTGGCTTCCTTATTACGTGGGCTGGTACGTTGCCGGGGGGCTTGTCGTGATGGTGCTCGGCCTGCTCCCAACACTGGTGCTCCGAATCCATCACTACTTCCTGGCCATGGTACTCATGCCAGGCACGGGCCTTCCCACTCGAGTCTCCGCCCTGGCCCAAGGCTATTTACTCGGTCTGTTCTTGAATGGTGCCGCAGCTTACGGATTCGACCCTATCTTGCAGACACATGCTGACGTGAGTGATCTGACGGCTTGCTTGCGCGCGTTACTGAATGCACCGCAGCTGGTCCAAGATGCCACCCTAGGATCAGATTTGGCTACGTTTGTCACCAATTCCTCCACCTACAACGCGACTATACCACTGGTGAATCAAACTCTGTTTTGGAGCCCTCCGCCCGCGGGGTGGGATGGATTCTCGCTTCTGATCGATGATGTCCAACGATACGTCGGTCCGGCTCTCAACTTTTCTCTCGCAGCGCTCCAAACTGGCTTGCCACACTTTTTCCGACTAGCCGTGAGTGTGACGCTTTCTCGCCCAGGCGATGGCGGTGATGCTGACTATGTATACGCAGCTCACATCAAGTGGCACTCCAGGTGACTACACCCATGCGGCTGTGCTCGAGCCTAATGGCACATGGATCGATCCAGCACCGGGTGCGACGTAGAGTATGTATAGCAGAGCGCCAATGACTACTATCTATTGAAGAGTGTGACATCTACAAAACGAGTGACGCTATGTAACAACATGGGTATCGGAAAGATGGACAGAATTAATTTTACAGGTACTACAGACAGACACGAGATCCACATTTAGAAATAATTAGAGCAAAGGAAGGTGGGGGACGCTACACCAGTAGCGTCGGCATCATCATCATCATACAACACTCCCAAATCGCGTCGCAGTTCCCGTTCCTGTATGGGCCCGCGGTCGATTCACAACACTAGCCTTGCCTGGCTCAGATTGGAACGTCATAGGCGGACGGCCTCGTCCACAGGTCATGCAGTAGTCGCCCTCGTGGGCTGCCTCGACTTGCGCTTTAAGATCACGCACTTGGCCTTCCAGTTCCCAGATATGTCGCTGCCACGCTTTCTTCGCGCTGACGATCTGATCTTGCAGAGCCTGGACCAGCGCAGACTGATCCTCTGTAATCGGTGCCATCTTGTCGATGTTGCTCGGGCTCCGGGCCAACACAAGCCCAGGCGTCACGGGCGACATCGCGGTGCTCGGGCTGAGCGACTCCAAATCTTCATTGTCGGGCGAAATGATATGATCCCCGAACTTCGCACTGAATAGTGTCGACACCGGCCGCAACTTCAGTGCAGGAAACTCGGTCACATTCGGAGGCGCGCTCTGCGGCAGGTCCAGCTGGTCCCAATTATCAGAGCTGTGCGGCGGCAAAGTCCGCGTCTGGAAATCCTCCGCGGCAGACGCCGCCCGCAGTCGAGTGGCCTGCCCTGTATTGATAGAAAGCGGTGGACGCGAACTCGCGTTTCCCGGGAACTCTGGACCAAACATCGATGGGGAAACTGGAGGGGCTGGAACTCGCGGAATGGATCCCTTCCTTCCGGCGGAGTGTGCCTGAGCAGAGGGCTGCGAGTGCTGACCACTGAATGCCGCATAGCCATCAGACAATGACGGAACCGGCGGCGGCGAAGCCTTTTCGTCCTTCTCTCGGCCGTTGAACAATCTCATAAAACCACTCTTCTTGTGCTTGATCGTTTTGCCCGGCGAGGGTTCCTGGTTCTGTGCGCCTGCGACCATGGTCTGCAGAGCACTCTTCGCCCGGGCACCCGTGCTGATCGACCGCGCCCTGGTCCTACCTGTCGGGCTCAGTTCCGTGCTCTCGGCTGAGGCCAACACATCCGGGAACGGGGTCGACGACGGCGAGGATACAGACATATTATTGTTCGTCGTAGCACTTCGGGACCTCTGCGCCCGAGCTTGCTCAAGAGATATCAAGTCAAACGCAGGCGAGCCACTGTGTTCTGTCCAGCCAGGAGGCAGAATCGGGGTCATTTGAGGAGAGGACACGTGATTGATGTTGCTGGTCCCGGAGTGAATCGGCAACGGTCCTGAGATTTCCCGTCCGTGGAATGTCGATGAACGAGAGCGAGGGCTCTGAGTCGGAGACATCGTCGAGGTTGACGTATCAGGCGTCAAAGTTGGGGCGATTGATCTGCTGACGGACGACCCAACGCTCGCAGAATCCGTCACGGTCGCACTAGAATCACTTCGTCCGATTGATGCTGACGGGACAGTGAATGCGGACCGGGTGGGAGCAGGGGTGTACGGATCCTCGGCATAGGAAACTACAAGATCCGGGTTTGCAAATGGATGCATATCTTCGGGGTAGTGGCTCGTCCCATGGCTCGGCCGACGACTGCTATAGCTCGCAACAGAGTGTCCAACCTCCTGATGGATGGGAGATACCGTACGAGATTGCTGAGACATCAAGGAGCGTGGACTGCCCGGAGCACGAGAAGGCGTTGCATGGGGAGAAGTACTAGAAGATTCCGACGTGGGAAGCGGGAAATTGAGGCGCAAACCTGTCGGATGCGGAGCATTAGACGCCGAGGCAGTAATCAGCGACGTTGACGAAAGACTAGCTTGGCCCAGAGCACTACAAAGGATATCAGTGAGAGAGCGTTGGCGAGTACAGAAAAACGCACAGCAGCGCCCCGCTTCGACCATGATGAGAGTGAGAAGACTCGAATGACCGTTTCGCCTTGGCGTGATGAGAGCGGGTGGACTCGCCACTAGGCCGCCCGCTGGCGGTTGTACCCCTACTGGCAGAGCGGAAGCCAAGGCCCTTCTTGAAACCGTCCCGTCCTCGACTGAGCTCTACTTCATCTTCCTCCTCCTCCATGATATCCCCTCCATCCATTTCCCAGGGGGCCTTACTGTGAAAGCGCATCTTCGGGCCTAGAAGGCTCATCCGGGAGTCAGGTTCTTCATGCTCCGCTTCAGACTCTTCTATAGGGTTCTCTTCCTCGTCAGAGTGTGAAGAGGACGATTCGTCGTCCATGTCTAGCATGCTTTCGGCGAGTTCGTTCAGACGATTCCGTTCGGGGGTCAGATGAACAGTCATGGGCGAGCGATATAAATGGAGTGAGCGAGTCTCGGCAACTTCGTTTGGGCGTGGTGAAAAGAATGGCGCAGAGTAAACGGATGGGGAGTCGTAGTCGATAGCGGCTGTTCGTTGAGCGAGAAGAGAGCGTATTTGAGCTTCGTGAGCAGCATCCTGGGTTTCGTGTCGCAACATTGGCCCCGATGGCAATAAATACGGGTGTGGCGACCCGCCCCGTCAGCAGTCACTGGTCAAGCTTCAAGTTTGGCAGAAACAACAAGGCGAAGTGGAATGATCGTTTCAAGATCTTGATGATCGATCATTCGATCAGAGGAATCAAATTGTCTTTCTCTTTACGGCGGTGCGATGAGCGACGCTGCAGTCTCATTACCCTCTTCGTCCAACGGCCGTGTCTCCGGGAAGTCATGGAAACCGAACAAGACAGCTACCAAGTAAACAGCGTCCCCAATTTGCTTCTCATCTGTCTAACTGTAATGTTCCAGTCGATCGCATCTGCCTGAAAATGTGAAAACGAAGTCCTGGGAGGAACGAATGACGGCGCAAACAAAGATAGCAGCCGTGAAAAAGCTGGAAAAAGAGCTGAAAGAAGAGAAACAAGCTGAAGTAACGCGGTGTGTAATGATCCTCCCGATTTTGCTGTCTTACTGAACACTGTTTTTCAGCCGAAGAGAAATCACCTTAGCTCGAAAGAGAGCAGCAGAGGAGCGAAGGAGATTAGAGGAGGATAAGGCGAAGGTGTGTGGTCTTGTTCCATTCTGTGCCGGCAGCCCAACTAACTGATGTTCAGATGGGTGCTCGTAAAGCTGCACGATTGCGGAGGAAATTGGGCCGTTCCAAGAAAATCAACGGATAGGCCATGAATCCATACCACACCGTGCCCATTATGTATTACTAGATCTGTTATTATAATGCCCAGCTGATATCGACCTCGCCCTCTTTGACGAAAGGTTTATCCAACCCTGCGACCACACTTTCGCACAAGGGACAACTGCTTGCCAACAAATCCTCGAGCTCAGCCCTCAAACGTTCCGACTTGACTTTCTTGGTCTCGTCGGACTCGAGCCCGTTCCGTCGGCCGCCCATTCCAGGCATCCATGCAGGGGCAGAGACGACTGCGGCCAGGGCATCAGGCACGATGAGGTCTCGCAGCTTGTCTCCTGCAGACAGAAGGTTCCGGCCGATCGCTCGCGTCCCTGTTTGCAGGGGGTTCACCACAAAGTTGGCGGAGAGGAGTGTTCGCTGCGCCGTTCCTTGGCGGGACTGCAGGCCGGAACCATTTAAATGCGGGGGCGCAGGTGCACCTTTCACCAGTTCATTCTGCAGAGCTAGTATGCGCCGCAGAGCATGAGGAGGCAGATATTCTTTCGCCTGATTAGAACATGATCAGACAACAGTTCGATCGAGAACAGTGCTAGTGTAACTGACCAGACCAATCAGACAGTCGGCATGGAAAGTGTGGCGACATGGGAAGACGTAGAACTGCCGGGTGAGCAGTTGGTGGGAGCAGACAGAACACTGTTCGCCAGCGTCCACAGTGACAAATCGATTCTTCAGGGCGACGATGTCCTCCTTGATCGAGTCTGCAGTGCGCGTTGCCTCGTCCATTTTGCTCTTCAGCTGGATGATCTGGCTCGAGTATCCTTCAAGCGCATTCGTGATCTCTTCCTTGAAGTCATCGATGACCACAAAGTCCGGGAAAAAGGGCAGGACATCTTCGATCTTGAGTAGGTCCGTGTTTTCCAGAAATCGCATGGCGCTATGACGGTATCAGCATATGCATAAACTCAGACGAACGAAATGGCGCACGTTTTGATGTCCTTCTTGTCCTGGACCACATAACGGGCGATTTTGAGCCACAGTTTCTTGCGAAGTGGCTCGTCATCCTCTGGTTTATCCGCATTCAGTTTGGCTAATTCGAGATCGCCCTTTTCAAGCGCCAGATCGACACTATTCTCCCAAAGACCCATTTTCGAGTAGATATGCACGCAAGGCTGTGTCCTCCCGGCTGTCTTGCACAGTCGCAGCGCATAGTCAAGGTCGTAGTATGGCTTGTCGGTGAGTGGGTCGGATGGTGCAGTCGTGAGAAAGCGCAGCAGAGGCCCGTCATCATCAGGCCCCGATTGATTCTTCAGTGCCGTTGCAGAAGGACAGATGTACAGCGTTATCATGAGGTTGTGTATCGTGGGCAGGGTGTTCATCTGTTCATATATCACGTGGTTCAGATATCGGATGGCCTGGTTCGGTGAAAGCGGGTCCCTCGGGGTATACTGGAGCTGGAGCAGCGCCGGAATGAGCCGAACCGGATCCAACGCAGGCTGCTTCAGCCATGAGTCCACTGTCCCTTTTGGGGAATGCCTCATCAGCACAGGCGCGAATCGATAATACAATTCGAGATCGGTCTGGGGGCAAGTTCACGTCAGCATTCGAGTGCATTGGCGCATCATCACACCTGGCGATTGATCACATCGATCGCTTTGGACCACTCCTCCTCGGAGACCCAATGCTCGATCACGCGCTGGAAGTCGCCAATGACATTGGCGTAGTGCAGATACATGTCCGTGCGACCATGCCCCTGGATCAATTCGTAGACGACGGAAGAATCCAAATGGCTCTGCCCGCAAGTAAGATTCGAAGACAAGAGATTGGGACAAACCGCAAACCTTATACGTCTCCAGAAATTGCCGCAAATCGTCCTCCAATATGGTCCGTTCTGCTTGTAAGTTTTCGACGTCGTGTGATACGGACTCGGAGGCCACAATATCATCCAACTCGTTGCACTTGCTCAAATAGAACTCGACGAGCCATGTCGAAAGCATCATGCGCTGGGTTATGTCCTGATGTGCTGTCAGCAACTTCTGCGAGGGTTGACTGAAGCACCGTACTCCTTTTCGCGTTCGCTCTAAGCGCGATATCAAATAAGAGCGCAGAGCATCTCGCTCCCCAGCATCCAGGAACTTGAGGGCGACTTCCTCGAAAGTTACAGAGCATTGAGCGAAACATTGAGCGGCTTGGAAATACCGCCCTTCGTCGAAAAAGGCGTTGGCCTGCGCAGAAAGCACGTGGTCCCGTTGGCTGGCAGTCTGCCCCAAGAGTCAACATGACATGACATAGTGCACGAGCGCGGTCGGACACACCTTGGCGTAGCGTAGTGCCACATCGAACTTCCCAGTCTGAAGATAGATCTTCCACACATCACGATCCTCGTTGTCCACCACCAATTCGAACAACGACTGATCGGTGAAAACCCAGTACGTTTTGCGCACTGGATCTGCACATAGACCTTTCACTTGCTCATTCGGTTTCTACAACAAGAAGTCAGGGCAAGCTCAACTGAATCGAACGAAGCTGACCAGAGGCAGAGATTCTTCGTAGGTCTCCTTCTTGTCCAGATTGCAGATGCCAACGACACGATCGTGGTATAACAGAACAAAGTGGAACTCTGTCAACGCTATCGATAGTGGAGGACCGATAGGACCGGAGGAATCGAATGTCGTCGGATACGGTAAAAGGTCTCCCGAGTCAATGAAGTTGTCCGAGGACGATTGGAAGTTGAGTGTTCCGTGGTATATGCCGTGAGCTAGGAAGCAGACAGGTTCGATCAATGAACAAGAGATAGAACCGAATTTACGCACACGTCAACCAAGCCATGCTCCTTGGAAGCGACAACGCCTGATCGGCATTCAAAGAGAAGTAGTGCAGCTCCGATTTCTTGTCCCCTGGCAGTTCAAATACTTGCGGCTGCCCTGTGAAGAGACTAGAGAAGACTCTACTCCCGTCTTCTGCCCTGCGATCCGGCGGACCCGAGAATTGGTATATGCGGCTATTTGTTGTGAGGACAGCAAGCACTTTGCGTGGGTCGGATGGCGGGAAGAAGTCGAATTTGACGCCTGTGATAGCCTGGCGCTCGCGCAAAGTGAGAACCGTTTGCAAGTAGCGGTCCGGAGACTTGAAGAAGTCTTCCTCGGCGTCAATGAGTGCCTCGTAGAGCACACCGTTCTGAGCACCGATCAACATCTCACGCGTAGACTTTGCGTACGAAGCCGAGAGCAGCGCCGCTTTGTTCCATGCTACACACTCGATGATCATCCGGAACGTCTTGAGCTGACGCGGCTTTTTCCACCCGCGGTAGAGATACCAGTTCTCTCCTTGAAGAGATGTCACGAGTATGTGGCGGCCGGATGGATCCATGAATATTTTGTGAATGGTCATTTCGTTCGGTTTGCGGGGTATGGGAATTTGGATGACCTGGTCGGAGCGCGACAGCTCAATAAGAACGATGACGTTGGTATTAAGAGCCATTGCAAGCATGTCTGAGCAGACTACGAATGCACTCAGAGGGGCCGGGAAAGGATATTGGACTCTGCATAGGTCGAATATCGGTGCTGCTGCTGCTGCTGGATCTACGTCCTATATTGCTAGTTAGAACACGACTTCAGCATTACTACGGTGACGCACAGGCATGTCCTCTAGAACAACATCTTCCACATCCTTAGAAAGCGGTTCAAAGCCTTGATATTGTAGTTCAGGTAACGGAACGGCAGCGGGTGCCGCAGCATGTTCTACATCTACTCGGAGAATGAGATGAGACACGCGAGAGTTTGAGGGAACGACTGGCAGTCATCAAACATAGCGGGCACCAAGTTACAGCCCTACGCGTTTCGTTCGGACTTCCTGCTGTCCTGCAGTCCTACTGGCCACGGTGGTGTTCGGCTGTGGTGTGAAGTGGTGCTTATGTCATCAACATCCAGACTATAAAGGGTAAGTCCACCATCTCTGCCTTCGTCATTCTAACGATGTCGCGTCCTATGCCCCGTCTGTTTGGTGCGGCAGATTGTATCTCTTTCTGACTGGAAGTAACAGTGCCTTCAAGTTATCCGACATGGAGAGACTGAATGGAGTCTATCGGGCAGACATGTAATCTTATCTCGCCTCCGATCTGCACGAGGCTCACCGCGGACGTTCTAGACTGGTCGGTCAGACATACCCCTGACGGAGCGGGGCGAAGGACAGATCAAGGCGCAGGCGGACATTCTCGTCGGTGAAGGCAGTAAGCATCACTTCCAAACAACTATTTCGAACACACACTGACCCCATTGGTCACAGAGGTCATTGATCCCAAGAACTTGTCCACCGTGTTTGTGTCGCCCCGCATTCGCGCACACAAGACCTTCCACCTCTTGTTTGCGAACGTGGAGACGCCCCACCATATCTTGACCGAAGAATGCCGGGAATGGGATTACGGTACACCGTCTTATTACCGGTATATCCATGTCACTCAGAGTTACAGGTGATTATGAGGGATTGTTGTCGTCGGAGATCAAGGCCAAGAACCCCACCTGGTCTATCTGGAATGATGTAGGCCACTCGTCGTTTATATGGACATTCTCACCGTCTTTCATGCAGGGATGTCCTGGTGGCGAAAGTGTATTAGAGATGCAGAATCGGGTCGACGCAATCATCGTCAAGGTGCGAGAATATCATCGCCAATATCTCGAAGAAGGCCTTCACACCCGAGACGTCTGCATTGTGGCCCATGGGTATGCATTTCCTCTCGCAGATCATCCCATTCTCATACAGCAATGATCCATCAGGCATTTCAGTCGAGTCCTGATCTCTCGCTGGATCAATTTCGATCTTTGCCTCGGTATTTGTTGCTACTTCAAGAGGAGAGCTTCGGTCTCACTTTGACTCCAGGTACTCACTTCAATGTGGAGCCGGGAGGTGTTGCTTACCTCGGGTACAACCACCACTCTCTCAAAGAACCGGCATTAAATGCTCTCAATCTCTATGCCAAGATTGACTGATTGCGGTTGTTCCTCTTATTCTGATAGAGACGAGGGACAAAGAAGGGAATTTAGAATATGTGGTTGTCTAACATGTAAAGACTTTACCGAGTGTACATCTGAATCAGACTTGCTTTCTTCGATTTAAGATTATGAGGCGTTTCAGAACCTGTGGCTGTACTTTACCTGCTTCATTTCCCCCATAACTTTGCAAGGAATCTATGACAGAATAGAACTGGATCTCTTCGAGCTCCTCAATTGGACGTGGATCTAAGTAACAGAATGGATCCGCGAACCTATTTGTCTCAATGCACACTAAATAAGAGGTCTGTGTTTCTCTGACCTCTACAAATTTTGATGCATTCAAAAATTACTTGGATTATTATGGAGTCATCACCAATCCCAAGACAATTGTCACAGACCGGATGCCTCAGGATCGTGAACAGCGCAAGAATGGTCAATGACCGTAGCTGATCACAAATCACGATGACCGTGTGCCATCACACCTGCCATTTCGAACGAAGAGGTGGCGCGGCCATTTTTCGTGTTCGACACGATCTCCACCTCTTAGAACACCGAATTTCGGGTTCACCTCGTGATGTCAGACCCTGTTGCTGAGCCTTTACCTGTTGAGGAGTCCGTTGTCGAGGACTCGCCTGGTCAAGCTGAACACGAGGCCTCTGATCTGACGTTGAGTGATCTCACAACAAACGCGCCAGCAGAAGGTGCCGCTGGAGACGAGGACACCGAGGACGGACATGGCGCAGATGCGGAGAGTGTGGTGACTGGAGTAGAAGATGCGGCTGCGGCTGTAACAGCCAAACCTGTCCCTGCTGTGAAAGCGGCCGCAAAGACGTCGACGAATGGGACTGCCTCGGGTGTTAAGAAGGTGAGTGTGTTTGTTCATTTCCCAAGCGCCTCCCTTCACCTTGCTCCAGATATTGACTTCGGGCACCTTCGGTGCCAGCAAATCAGTGTCTTCCAAACCTTCTACCAGCTCCGCCCCTGCGAAGGCCCCGGCTGCTGCGCCCTTGAAGAAATCCATTAGTGGTCCCACAACGACCAAGCCGACAATGACGGCGTCGAGGCCCGCTCCGTCTGGAACCGCTGCTGCTGTGCGAAAGCCCACCGTTTCTGCCACGAAACTGACCGGGCCTTCTTCCATTAAACCGTCCGTGTCTGCCTCGAAGCCTACGACCGCGTCATCAGGTGCCACAGCGCGAGGGTCTGTGACATCCCCAGTCGGTAGCTCGGGCGCCAATACTAAAGACGCTCCTTCCCGACCGCGTGCCTCAGTGTCCGAAGGGGTTAAGAGAGCACCTATCGCTCCTCGAGCGAGTCTTGCTGCCGTGACAAAACCACCGTCGAAACTCGCCTCCTCAACCGCTTCGAAGCCCACAGCGACCAAGGCGCCGTCATCTGCTTCTGCGGCACCTGCAAAGACGCGCACGACTGCTTCCATCGCGTCAATAAAGGAAGTGCACGAGGATACCAAGGCCCTCGAAGAATTGCAGACGAAAGTATGTTTCACAGCCACGTCTTCTTCTCGCTCTAACAAGGACTAGCTCCGTGAAGCAACTGATGAGCTCGCAGTCAAAAGCCAGGCTGCCGCGGAGCTGGAAGCTCAGGTCGAGGATCTCAAAGCGTCGCTGGCGACCGCGCTGGCCGACATCGAGGCCAAGGGCTCGAGTGCGCCTGAAGTGACAGAAGCTCAATTGGCTTCTGAAATGCAGCTTAAGAGCACGACGGAAGCTCTCGAAATGCTGCGGGCGGAACATGAGCAAAGCACGTCCTCTTTGCAAGCTATTCAAGAAGAGGTATGTCAAATCTTGGTATCCCAATACCTGCCTGACCTGACTCTCAATTCGGCAGCTCGACGCCGCAAGGGAGGCCACCACTGTACAGACACAGTTGGTCGAAACACTCCAACTTCACATCGAAACTTTGTCAGCTGAGGTTGCGAAGGCCACCGAAAGTTATGCTGCTCTGCAAGCGTCACAGGGCAGCGTGTCCTCCGACGCGTCGGCTGCGGCCTCCATCGAGCACGACGCATTGTTGAAGGCCCAGTCGGACTTTGGAGCTATCCAGGTCGAGATTGAAGCACTGAAGGACGCGCACAAACAGAGTCTGGAGGACCTCGAAGGCAAACTCTCCACCGCTGTTGAAGACAAGGCTTCTGCCGTGGCAACTCTGGAGGAAACGCTCGCCGATCTGACGTCTCAGAAGGAGGAGGCAATAGCTAAGCTATCTGAATTCGAGGTCGAAAATCTTGAGCTCAAAGAGAGTCAAGAGAGTGCAGAGGACGAGCGAACCAAGACTGCAGAACACATTTCCACTCTTGAGCGAGAGCTTTCCGAAGCTGTCGCAGCAACCCAGGCGGCGATTGATAAAGCTACCGCGGAGCAAACTGAGCACGCTGCTCAAACTGGTGCAACCCAGGCATCACACGAACAAGCGATCAAAGAGATTGCGGACGCTCATACTCAAACAACGACTCAATTGGACGCTTTGAAGGCCGAGCTTGACGGTGCTCGAGCCGACCATGAGACAGCTGTTTCTGAGCACGCCCGGCTGCTTGCAGAGAGTGAAGCCGCCTCTGCTAAGAAGGAGGCGGATCTTGTCGAACAGATCAAAGTTATCTCGGCCGATCTTGAGGTACAAGTCTTCGTCGGCTTTGTGTCCTCGGTGTGCTGATCTAGAGACAGAGCCAAGAGTCCCAGTACAATGCGAAAGTGGATGTCGTGAAAAAAGAACATGAGCAGCTGCTTCAAGAGGCATTCGAGCGCGCCAAGGTCAGTTGTGTTCGTTGTCATCGGATGAGATCTGAACGGACCTCTGTAGGCCGAAGCAAGCAGCCTTCATCAACAAGATCTCCAGTCTCTGCGGTCTGAATCTGGCAGCACGATGGACCAAGTGCGAGCCATCCATGAGTCTACCATCGAGCAACTCAAAGCCGAGCACGCTTCCGTCATCGAGTCCACTGTTGGCGACCTCGAGAAACAGTTGGCGAAGCTGAATATCGAGCTGAAGGCCACCCAGGACGATCTTGTCAAGGCTAAGGCGAATCTAGACGGAGCCCGGGCCGAAATTTTGACTATGACCGCTCAACGGGATGAGGCCCGCACGACCTTGGAGGCGACACCGGAGCTATCTCCGCAACATGCGGAGGAGATAACTCGGCTGCGGCATGAAGTGGTTGCCAAGTCCGATGACTTGCAGGCTGTCGAAGAAATGTTGGCGATCACCAAGGCTTCGATTCAATCCATCTCACAGAACCACACCGTTGAGCTCGAAGAAGCGGCGAAAGCCAGAGCTGAGGAGGCGACCAAGCTGCAGGCTGCTCACGACGAGGAGGTGAAAGCCTGGAACACGCAAAAATCGGAGCTGACGTCCCGCCTTTCGGACCTCGAGGGGGAGCTTGCCACTCTCAAGGCAACGATGAATGCGGAAACAGCCGCTCCGAAGAGCAATGGAGCTGTCGCAGTTCCGCAATCACCCGGGATCACCAAAGAAGAGCTGCAACATCTGCACGAAGCTCACAACTTGAAGATGAATGATCTCCAAGCCCAGCACGAGAAAGAACTGAAGGCGTTACGGGATCAGCTAGAGAAGGCTGCTGCCGACCTGGACGAGTCGATTGCTTCGGTTGCCCGCAAAGCCATGGAGATTCAGGCAGGTGCTATGCGACACTGGTTTCATACACTGTTGACCCTGGCTGCAGTATCTCGAGTCCGATCAAGACGAACAGACCGACCGGATCACTCAGTGTGTCTTCCGCATGCTCATTGCTTTCTTCTACTGATATCTTATTATCCAGGCTACAAGAAGACTTGGAAGCCGCTCAACTCAAGATCAAGACTCTGGAAAGTCCCGCCGCATAGGTGAGGACGCTAGCTGGACGGGTTGGTTGTTTTCTATGTATATCAGGATTTCTCGTTGTCCCCCTTACCTTACTACATCTTTTATACCCTCGACTGAAATCATATGCATTCTTCCGGAAAAGTGTATTCTCCCGGACAGCCTTCGGACACCCGCATGCTGTTTTCGAGAAATTTCGCCGAGGTTCGCCAAGAGAATGCACTTACCTCTGAGCTTCTTCGTTGATAGAGATTTGGCGATAGAAATTCTCTGGCAGTGGCATGCTGCAGGCTGGAGATTGTGGCTTCCGTGTTCCCACAGTTGTCGTATACAAATGGGGATAGCCACGACCGGTTACCCCAAAATATAAAAGCGACAGCAATCGTGCGAGACCAATCCTTTCCACCCCTCCACCTCTGCTGCTCGAACAACATGGCCATCCAACGGGAACCGGGCCAGAAAGGCGTCAACTGGTCTAACATTGCTGTCGGTAAGAGACGCGCGCTATACTATTCCCCATTGGTGTTCATGTGCGCCTCAGGCGCGATCATGAACATGGTATGGAATGGCATGGACTCGACGCGTTGAACCGTGCACTAATACTCTCAATTTCTTCCATCTCCTGCTTAGTTCGTGAGTTGAACCGTATTGCTCCGGCTCCGCGACCCATCACTGACGATTTGCAGGAGGTATGGCTGTTGTGAGACGTATATTCACCGGCTTATCCTATGCCAGGTCACAACATTAGGTCAACCTCTGGAGGTGCTCAAGACCCAAATGGCAGCCAACCGGTCTCAACCCATGATGCAAGGCATCAGGGCCGTCTGGGCTCGCGGAGGTGTAGCGGGATTCTACCAGGGTTTGATCCCATGGGTTCGTCGGCCCCTTGCCTCTTGATATGGCGCGCGCTCATATCTATACAGGCATGGATTGAAGCATCGACGAAGGGTGCCGTTTTGATTTTCGCTGCCTCGGAGGTGGAGACCGCGACCCTGGGCTGGGGCGTCAGTCCCGCCACGGCTGGGTTGTTGGGCGGTATGACCGGTGGTGTTGCGCAGGCATATGCTACCATGGGTGCGTTATACAGTCCCAACGCCACACCGGGCCTTAGTCTCACGTCTTGCAGGTTTCACGACTTGCATGAAGACTGCTGAGATCACGCGCCAAAAGACCGCCGCTTCTGGCGTCAAGCCCCCTTCGACGATGTCGTTGTTCATGGATATGTATCGGAAAGAGGGTCTTGCTGGTGTTAACAAGGGTGTCAATGCCGTCGCCGTGCGGCAGTGCACGAACTGGGGTTCCCGGTCAGCCATCTACCCCCAGACTATCGATCTGCACTGACGAGGCGCGCAGAATGGGTTTCGCCCGTCTAGCAGAGACTGGAATCCGCAAGGCTCGGGGCAAATCCGAAAGCGAATCATTGGGTGCCTTTGATAAGATTCTTGCGTCGACCATCGGAGGTTCATTAGCGACGTGGAACCAGCCGATTGAGGTGGTTCGCATCGAGGTACGTGGGTTCACATCTCGGTTGGAAGCGTTGCTCAGTCGAGATAACTCAGATGCAATCTATGGTCAAAGACGCCGCGGCCAACACGAACCGTCCCGCAAAATTGACGGTACTGAACACCCTCGGTTACATCTACAAGGAGAACGGTCTCAAGGGTCTCTACCGCGGCGTGACCCCTCGAATTGCTCTCGGCGCGTGGCAGACGATTTGCATGGTGTCCCTCACAGATTATGTGAAAGACTGGTACGCAAATGACGATAGACATCGTCCCGATCTTTGCTAACAGATTTCAGGGTGAAGGGGTAGTGTCCTGACGGCCGGTTATTATATATATATCGTATTTCTCTTTAGTTTCCTCGCAGATTGGATGCTACTAGATGTACTAGATCACGTACTGGAGAAGCTGAATGTCGACCGGCCCGAAAGAGCCCGAGACGCACACGGATCAATATTGATCATCAAATGCAATGTCGCCATGATGAAATCACCCATCTGCATGCTCAAAGCACCTCACAAAGTCGGCCACTCTACTGCCCGGTGTCATCTTTACCACCATGAGCGTACCTGCAAAGACTCACCCTCTCCTGGCCAAGTACCTTCAGTCCCTTGCGACTCATCCTCTCCGGACCAAGGCCCTCACAACCGGAACATTATGTTTCCTCCAAGAAGTAAGTGCTTGTCGCCCTACAAGCATCGTCGATATGTACCAACGACCGCTATCCAGATTCTTGGTAGCAACATTGCTGGACTGCCCGTTAACAAGCCAGCCCCGTACGTCAAGTTACGTATCAATGAGCACTTTCACTCAACTCGAGCTCCGTCTTTGCAGGAGCGCGCCCGTGCTGGTTCAGCTGCTAGCACGGTCGCATATCGACATCCGAGCGGTGAAGATGGCGCTATATGGTACGACACACGTCTAGCTTCGTCGACTGAACTACATCCGCGCCCTCCAGGCTTCCTTGTTTCTGCCCCCATCAGCCACTACCTCGTCGGCGCGCTGCAGAAAGCGTTTGCTGGCAAGACGAGCCCCGCTGCTAAAATCGGACAAATTGTCGCGAACAACCTCCTCGTCGCGCCCATCCAGACGAGCGCCTACCTGGGATCCATGGCTATCATCAGCGGGGCAAAGAGCATGGATGAGGTGGTCAAGACCGTCCGGGCGGGTTTCCTGCAGGTCATCAGAATGCAGTGGATCGTGAGTAGACACGGTCCATTCTACCCGTCGCGCTAATGTGCATATAGGTCAGCCCTGTGGCGTTGGTATTCGCCCAACGATTTGTTCCTGTGGAGCTGTGGGTTCCATTCTTCAATGCGCTCCAGTTTGTGTTGGGAGTGAGTCGACTTTCTCTGTTGGTCACACTGAATTTAACTGTGATCCAGACATATTTCAATGCCCGGGTAAAGACTCTGCGCCTGGCTGCAGAGAGGAGGAAGGCAAAGGAGGAAAAGAAGGAGTAATGTTTATTTCTGTAATCAACTGGTGCGAAGATCCGAGACTACGAGAGATCCTAATTGTGGCGTTTGTTGATATCTAAGGCGGACCACCTCATTGTCAACCTCCACGATCTCTGTGTCGAGCTCCCAGCCGTCAAGCGAGTATGATCCGGGGCGGTCGATCCACATTCGCGGAGTCAATGTCGTCGCTTCGAGAGGTCCCAATGTGCCTCGAAAGGTCACACGCCCGGAATAGTCTGGCACAGGATTCTCTCTAGTTGTCTCTTCAGCGGGCCGTTCAAAGCAAAGGGAAGAGGGAAGAACTAACGCAGAGCGTTCTTTCTTAAGTCGCAGAACAAACCGCGAATGGTTAGATGGCGAGTAGTTTCTGACGGTGAGATCTATCGGCACTTGCGATAGTCTAGCAGAATATCAGCTGGACCCCGACAATCAATGCGCCACAATTATTACCCTTTTGAGAAATCATGCGAGAGAAGGCGCTGGCCGATAGACAGCATGTGTGGGTTCATCTCTGAGTTCCACTCGCTGCGCTCGATTGCCTGCACGACCTCCGTCCTCTCGCGCTGTGTTTCAGCATACATGCTGCGCGTGACTTTTGTGTTCTCGGCCTCTTGCAGGATTTCGCGCAGGGGAGCATGGCCGGCACCGAGTGTCACGCCAGGAACAAACACGTGACCCGAACGCTCTTGAGCAGGGATTTCCCAGTGCACGATAACGTCGACGCAGTGGGGATTGTAAAGCGGGAAAACATCTGGGAATGATCTGGAAGGGATATGTGGATGGTTGGCTGCTATCTGCCGTAGCGTGTGATTGCGGCGACTGCACTCGTGGAAATATCTCTGAGCCGGCAGAGGAGGGCTTGTCTGGGAGAAAAAGTCGGCTCGGACTCGGCTGCGATGAGATGGCGCTTACGTAGAGGACATCAATCGGCGGAGCAGTTGATTGAGCCCTGGTGCCAAGCAGCACGTTGCGCAAGCCATTCTTGACGAATTCGAATGTTTCTGCGGATCCACTGCCGTCTTCCCACCGGTTGACACCAAAGTGGATTCGACATGACTGAGAAGGTGGAAGCCGATCACTGTGTCAGGGGTTAGACATAAAATAATCCTTTCACAGAATGTACTTGCAATGATGTCTCTTGCAGAGGATCGCATCTCCAGCCGGGACTAGGCGTCATCACCTGCGTGACTTGGATCGGACGCGTGCAGACATTGCTCAGCTGTACGTCCATCGAGAACAGATGTTGGGGGTTGCGGCATGGGATAGAAGTGACGCTGACGTCCAGGATAGGCTGCACATCGAAACGCCGGACCAGACCGGCCGAATGGAAAGATAGGCCGGCGTCCTGTCGAGCTTGAGCTTGTGGAACTCTGGAACAGCATTGGATGCTCACCTCCCGGAAAACGAACAGCAGCGACAGCTCTTGCTCGCCCGAACGGTTGGCATGGAGCAGCAGGTCGACTTCGACACGATCACCGGGCTGCAATCCTGACTGTCCGATAGCAATGGCCTGCGGTTCCGGAAGAGCAACCGAGTTGTCTGACCGCGCGACGTTGCTGATCTCTGTGACATGTTAGCATGCGACACTGAAATACGCGTAAGCTGACTCACCTCCGCTAGAGCCTGATTCGAGCCAGATGGCATCCTCTTCCCCGACGAGAAGCCACATTTGTCCGATAGGTTTGCTGCCGCAATTTTCCAGCAACACCCGCAAAGGTCGGGTTTCTCCGTGATACAAATTTAGCTGCAGATCGTCCACAAAACTGGCTCGTAATTGGTGGGCAGCCTCGACAACATCAACCTTGAGTAGTACGTCGGGTGCGTAGGTCGGGTACTGTCGCTGAGCCGGGGTGTTCTGCAATCTCGCTCCTCGCATAGCTAGCGGCTCTCGGACCGGCAGCAGAGACAGGAAGGTATATGCCACATCTGTGATCGTTACAGTCGTAGCTCGTAAAGCCTTGACGGAGATGGCGACCTTCGGTCCACGGGTTCAGTCTAACATCGGCTCGCAAAACAAAGACTCACAGTGCGTGATTCTTTGGGCGCAAGTACGATGTCATCCGATGTCTCTATTTCAAGACAGGCCTCAGTTGATCCCGAAGCCTCTTCTGCGAGAACCGTGAGACTGGACAAATTCACTTCTGTGTCCAACGGGTTGCGTAAGACGACCTCCACGTGGAATATTTCTGTCAAAGATAAGAATGGGG